TGGTTTCAGGCTTTAGGGACTCGACTAGGGTGTTGGGGGCAAAAGGGAGAAACCAAAAATGTCGTCCATGGGTGCAGTTCCTATATGTCCTTAGAGGCCGCCCCAAAGGCCAAGGGACATGATTTTGCAAAAGCCCACGGCTAAACTGTATCTCCCCGACCATGACAGCAACCCTAAGCCCTAAACCCTTGACCCCAAAACCCTGAACCGTAAACCCTAAACCGTAAACCCGAAACCCGAAACCCGAAACCCCAAACCCTAAACCCTAAACCGCCTAAACCCTAAACCCCAAACCCTAAACCCTAAACCCCGAAAACTTTCGGGAGAGGCTGAGGGCTGCAGGAGGTCGTTACGAAGCGCTGGAGCCCGGTTCGGATTTTGAAGTAGAGTCTGACCCCAAGGGTTAATGTACCTATATAGTATGCACCTGGGCCCTAAAGCTACTATATGAGAACCCCGTTAATGCCCAAGTGCATACTAACTATAGGTACTTAGGGTAATGAAACAGCCGATGATATGAAACTGCCTCCAGTCGACAGCCCACACACCCCATCCCGTAAACTCTAGTAAGGCTAGACTCTACAAGTTGATATCCCTAAACCCAGAATTTTGGCTTCAGCGTCCCCAAACACCAGTGCTTCCATCTGGCTCCAGATATGATAACGGAAGGGGGCCCTCCAAGTGACCCTATCAACCCTGAACTACCTTAGTTCCTGAACGCTAAGTCCAAAGCTGGTAGAAACTTATGCTGGTAAATGCCTTTTAGGTACTCGCACCCGTATGCTCCTAAACCCTAAGCCCTAAAAAAAACATATGCTAAGCTCTACGACTTCTTCCCGCCGCGTCAGGAAGAACTGATCGTCAGGCGGCTTCCTCACGAGGCGAGTTTTGCTTTTGCTTTTGTTGTGGGGGGGAGGGTGGGGGGGGGGGGGGGGGGGGGTGGGGGAGACTGGGGGGGGGGGGGGGGACGGGGACAGGGGCGGGTGGGGGTAGGAGGTTGGGGTTAGAGGTAGGGGGTAGGGGGTGGGGGTAGGGGGGTGAGGGTGGTGAGTGCATTGCGTCTATTCTGCGGATCTGCGGGCGTTTCCTTTGTAAAGTATTTGTTTACAAGGCACGCACGTGCAGCATGGCCTTTAAGTGTCCATCTTACGGGGGGACGGGGGGGACGGGGGGGACGGGGGGGACGGGGCGCGGAAATACCATCGCCGTCCTCCGACATTCAGGACTTCGACTTCTGGCGGAGCCCTTTGGCAGTGTCGCCAAAGAAGATGTCGTTGGCCTGGGTGGGAAATGTTTGGGGTTTAGGGTCTAGCTGTTTAGCGTTTAGGGGTTCGGGCTAATGGGGTTTAGGGCTGCTTAGGCTTTAGTCTAGGATTCCCAAGCAGGGGCCCTTGATTCGGGACATATTACCGTTGTATACACTTTACCGGATCGGGCCCATACTTCGGATCCCTATAAACAAGGGTGAGGGAACGGCTCCGACCTTAGATTTAGGCTTGCTTGTGGTTCAGCTTTGACCCTGGCACCCAAACCTTACTGGTTTTGAGCTTAGGGACTTAGGGGCTACGGCACCCTTTCTCACCCCTTTACAAAGTTCTAAAGGGGTAATAAAGGCATCTAACCCCAAACCCTAAACATCCCTAAGCCCTAGACCCTACACCTAGTCCTACTAGCAACCCCAGGCCCTAAGAGAAGTTGGCGTTAGTTGGCGATCTTTGCACGAGCTTCAAGGTTGTAGGTCTGTCATTCTGCCGATAGAAAGTCAAAATCTTCGAGAAGCTCATAGGGGCTTCATCATCGCAGGCCTGCCAACTGTGATAAAGTTCACAGAAAGCACCGCGCCGCGGCAAGTCACGAAGCAAGAGCACTGCATCTTTGTGCTTCAGCCGCTTTCTGCTTACTAGCACTCGCTGTGCGCGCGCGGTGTGCCTTGATTACCTCAAAATGGACCACAAGAAGCTTGAACTCTTCGCCAGAACCGCCTTTGTCAGGGTGAGCTTGTCGTGCTTTCTCACGGTAAGCTTTGGTGACCTCTTGATCTGAAGCATCAGCCGGAACCCCAAGGAACGCATAGGCATACTGGACTTGCTTGTCTTCCGGGAGCTGGCAGTGCTCGAAGATCCACGACCTTGCTGCAACAAGGGAGTCGATGTGGTCAATTCTCCTATTGACGGTCCCTTTTCTGGTACCCTAATTGTCATGGGAAGCCTTCTAATATTAATTGGACACAAGGGGCCAGAATGTAGAAAAGCTACCATGTGAGCAGAGAAAGCAGACCAGCACCATAAACCCTAAACCCTAATCCGTAAACCCTAGCCCCTAAACCCTAAACCCTAAACCCTAACTCTGCCCCAGCAAGCGGCTTGAAGGACCCTCCAAGAAGTGCGCCCACGAGTGAACCCACGGCTGCACCGATCGCCGCGCCGAGCCCTGCTGACAAGGGCCCCAGGAGGACTCCGACAGCGAGCCCGATCCTTGAAGGCTTGAAGGCATTTTCGGGCTTAGTGTTTAGGCTTAGGGTTTAGGGTTTAGGGTTTAGGGTTTAGGGTTAGGGTTTAGGGTTTAGGGTTTAGGGTTTAGGGTTTGGGGTTTAGGGTTTAGGGTTTAGGGTTTAGGGTTTAGGGTTTAGGGTTTAGGGTTTAGGGTTTAGGGTGCTAGGGTTTAGGGTTTAGGGTTTAGGGTTTAGGGTCTAGGGCTTAGGGTTTAGATTCAGTGAGGAGGGGTTTAGGCTGTACGACTTAGGGTCTAAATTGCGTTGGGTGTGTGATTTCGGGTACCCTAAATCCTAAGCCCTAAGCCCTTTCCTGCAAAGAAAGCTCCCTTCGATCGTGTCCACTAGCAGGTGCCAGGCCATCCCTACAAAAGCATACTACAACTACAACCTAGTAAACTACACTGTATACTCTAGGTTTATGGTTTAGGGTTTAGGGTTTAGTATAGTATGACAGTGTTTGCTTGACAAACCATCTATGCCAGCTCATGGAGCAGTGCGTTTTAGCAAGAACATTCCGGTACCAAAGGTCTTGTGTAGGACAGCACGCGGCTGTACTTTGCTAGTATCAGACAGCATACTAAACATACTAAAGCTCAATGCGAGGATCTTGTGCAGTATACTAGTCTAGAACAGCCTCATGCTGTGTTGTAGGGGTGGTTTGATCAGGCATTTCGGGCGGTGTAGGGATCAAGGCAAGGTATCGTGCTTCTAAGAATCTTCATGCCCGCACAACCACCCAAGGCAACGGGCGCCAGCTGAGTGAAGTCGGCACACAAGCTGGTCTTGAACATTTCCGTGGTGATGTTGCCCGAGCACCAGTCATAAAAGCACCTGACCATGTCGCGCATGATCTGGCTTGCTGGCAACATTGCTGACAGGAACGGATTGGAGGCACAGGCAATGCAAATGATGATATCGCACACCAGTCCCACGACGGTGATGAGCGTGTGGCCTGCCTTGTTACCTGCCGATAGAGATGCCCAGTTGACTGTGGCCCAGATGTCATACATGGCCTTGATTTCCCAAAATAGGGGCACCCCCCTTTATGCCGCAAATAGAATAGACGCCCCTTGAAGCGACCCCCCCCCCCCCAAAAAGGGTACCCCTATTTTCGGAAACCCCCGCGTGGCCTTGATTACGCAGCTTGCCACGCCCATGGTAAGCCAGGACGATCCTAGACGCTGGGCCAGCTTCTGCAGGAGCGTGACTTGCGCAAACTGCTTGATTGCCACCCAGCCTTTGCATCTCGCGAAATGATAATATGTTTGGCCCTTTTCTCTCTCAAAAACACTACAAACAAGTGAGAGAGTAAACGGGGTGCTAACAAGTTCATATTTTCAACCGTTTGTTGTTATATGTTGTTATTAATTAATGTTGTCTCTCAGGCGCTACAATAACTTTCTTATGCGTGCCCGTATTCTTTCACTACATGCCTCGGCATTCCTGCGCGATGGCCGAAGTGCCCGTCCACGTCCCGTGGCTGTGAATAAAGCAGCAATCTTAGGGTAGTTACATGGTCCCTTAGTATGGGCCCTTAAAACGGGACCCCCTGCAACCTTGTATACCACGGAAATACATACAACCCAAGGGCCCATACTTCAGAACCCTTTAAAGGAGGTAAGGAACCATATCAAGGGCCCATAGAACTACCAGAAGAACAAACACTGCCCAGCGGCCCAGAGAACCTACGTCCTGGAGTTCAAGGTAGCCTTTGCTCACGAGCGTGTGAAATGCTACCTTGGTCACGGCAGCGATGGCACCATTGGCGTTAGCCGAGAGCATGAACGAGTCACTTGCAGCATCCACCACAACTTGACCCGACGTCTCGTCGTAATGCATCTTGCCATGCACGTCCACTGCGGTGAACAAGCCCTCGGAGTGCAAAGTGCCCTCGCCGTCATGAATCGCAAACGACTCCCTGCTCAAGTGAAGGTGACCTCCCATGACAGTCTGGTCGATGGTTCCTGAAGCATCTTCTCCAATCTCCTGCCCATTTGGGCCGGTCTCGGTTCCGTCTTGCACCTTATGAATGTGAACGTCTGACTCCTCACATCCTTGCCAACCATGATGTGTTGTCTGCAGGTGCTCATCACTTGTCCAAGTTCCGTGTTCATGCGGGTGGCAACTGCCGGTTTCTTGAGTCCTGTCTCCAACATACGAACTGTGCACGTCCTTGATCTGAAGGTCTTGGTCATGGTGTCCGAGTCCGCGTGTCTCTGAATGGTCGGTGACATCCTAAGCAGCTGGCAAGTAAGTGCACAGTACAAGCCGTGCAAAGCTACATGGCACAAAAGGAGATCAGCATTTCAACTAAGTCAGGTTCTTTCGACACATGCAAGTGCTCCGCAGTCACCACACCGTTGTCCGTAGACTTGTCACCTTCGTAGTTGGTGACCTCCGTATGAGCACCAGTGACTTCAGAGCCATTCTCTGTGCGATGGAATGACGCGCTCGTTGCGGAGCTGCCTTGCACAGTTCCAGTCTTCACGTCATGATCGTAGACGTTTCAGAACCTCGTCATCTTGAAAGGAGAAGCACGAATTCAAAAAACAAAACGGGGCTCCTCTCAAAAAGACACTCGGCTATGCCTGGCATCCGCCCCCTCCCCCCTCACCTCCTACGTCGCCGTCACCCCCCCCCCCCCCCCTGGTATCGGGGTAGCAGGTAGCGAACGCCCCCCCCCACCCGTACGCGTACCTGTACCTGTACCCACACCCACACCCAAAGTGCCCACAATTACAAAACTAGAACAACTTGAAGCCCAGCTGGGAGGCAGGAAAGAATGCGTCACGTGATCTTCCTGGCCTTGGAAAGTCTCCGCCGATTGCTCTGTGTGATGGACGCCATCCGGTGTTGTCCAGCTGTGCTGCTGTTGACCAGAGTGCTCCTCAAAATTCCCTATTTCTTCCTGCCTGCCAAAGATGCCGAGATTGAAGCCAGTCTGCTGACCTTCAAAGTTGCTGTGATGATATGACCTTGTTCCATCCTGCGAAATGTTGTCGACCACGGTGTTTTCTGTCACAGATCCCGACGAAGCCACCAACCAGTTGTACCCATCGTATGTGCGCCTTGTCACCTCATGCTTGGTGCCCCCTCCCTTGGTGTGAGTCTGGGCATCGTCCCTTGAAGAAGACTTCACATGGCCAATGCGCACTGGCGCGGTGGAGAAATTGCCGACACCAAGCCGGAGCTCAACACCCTCAGTCTTCACCTTCTCATCGAACGTTTCCGTTCCGCCTTCAAGGCCCGTTTCTTTGTGAACGGAGTCCTCCGTCACACCAATGGCAGCCTGGGCCTGGACAACTCCAAGCACATCCCCCGGAATCCCGCAACCAATTTGCAGACCCGATGTGTGCTGTGAGACTGTCCCATCAAGCGTCTTGAGCTGGTTCGACTGCTCTCCGACTCCAAGACTCACGCCGTTCGCAAACACAAGCTCTGCATGATGGTCACTAGCGGAAAACATTGGAAGCCTAGTCGTGTGCATGAAAGCACAAGCGGTCAGGTTCTCACCTGTGCTGGCAGCAAAATCATGCAGTGCTTCTGCGGCGCCGCGCCCATCTGCAAGGGCGCACGCAGCATCCACCGCGCCACCTCAAGGCCATGGAGCAGATTTAACAGCAAAAGTGGAAGGGTTTAGGGTTTAGGGTTTGGGGTTTAGAGTTTAGGGTTTAGGTTTCAGGGTTAAAGTAACATGTGTAGCGCCTTGTTCAATGACGAAGTTCACTCTCGCACATGATGGTTTTGTGTTCGCAGTGCAACCACTACAAACAACCAGCATAGAGCACCCGTTAGAATGTTTAATCACACCTGTTGAGTCGCTGCGCGCACCCCCAACGGCACCTGCAGCAGCACCGACCAGCAAATGGCCACCTTCACCAAGTTGAACCTCCGTCGTAGACGTTTCCTGTACGGGTCGAGTGTTGGGGTTGGGTTTGGCACAAAGGACTGAAAGGGGGCGTCGCACGGGGTCACCATCTTGGGCCAGAGCTACCAAAATACTAGCGGGAAGAGTAGACACTTGCGACAAGTTGACAAAAGTCTACGCCGATGTTGCTACATCTAGGAGACTCTGCAACCTGCAACTTGCCAGAGTCCTGTGAGCTGGAAACAGTCTTGGCGTGAGCTACAGGAACAGGCTTTGTTGTCAACAGCAGCAGCATCATCAGAACTCCAAACTTGATGACATGCAAGCCCGGCACAAGACATGAAGGGTCAGTAGGAGGTTGAGAAAACTCCTAGGAATCTGCACTATAGTATTATAGCGGCGCCTGGCCGAAGCTATGCTGCTGGATCTTGATGCCACCCGGTTCTGGAAGATGCTCCTGACTGTTGGCTGCTGCTGAACAGCACCATCAGCGCTCTAAACTTGAGGACACGCAAGTCCAGCACAAGACATGAAGGGTCAGTAGGAGGGTGAAAGAACTGAGAGAACTCCAAGGAATCTGCTTTTCATATTTTTATAGTGGCGCCTGGCCGAAGCGGTGCTGCTGGATCTTCGCGCCAACCGGTTCTGGAAGATGCTCCTGACTGTTGGCAGCAGCAGCAGCAACAGCAGCGGCACCATCAGCACTCCAAACTTGAGGACACGCAAGACATGAAGTCAGTAGGAGGTTGTGGCTCGCGACATTACAGTCCTTCACCGCGGTATGGTCCTCGCCCAGGCTTTCCGATTTGCTAGGTACCTCCGCAGCAACATCTTTGACTGTCGTCTTCACTTCCAGTATGTTCATACCAAAAGCACCGTAGCCCTCAGTCTCAGTGCGGATGCCGTTGCGGTTGTCCTGTATCTTGGTGGAGGATCCAGCAAAGCTTCTCCGCTCCTCATGCCGAAAATGTTCCTGACAAGAAACTGTTGCCCCCATGACCTTCAAATTGCTGGTCTCGGTGTGCACTTGCTTGGACTCAAATACGCCAGTCCTGTCATAGGCTGAAGTTTTGCTGTTCGACGATGACATGACGTCTGTGCCAAGAACCTTCACGGCATGGCCAAACGTCTCTTCTTTCGTGGAGGATGTCAGAGAGCTTTCTTCTTTCAGCAAGCGTTTTTGCGACACGCCTGTGTCACAATTGAGCATCTCAACACCCAGGACATCGAGACCTCCAGCAACGCCATCAATGGTTTCATGAGTTGAAGATGACGAAGAGGAGAGCATGGAAGACTTCGCATGGGTCTCCTGTCTCTCTGTCCTGCCTACATTGCCGCTGAGCCCGATGGCGCTTGCCAGCTCACTGGCAACGGGGACATGGGTGCCGGCGCACACATCTAACACGGTCCCGCCACCAACACGGAATTGGACACCCGTCTCCGTCTGTTGCTGGTGGACAGCTGTTCCATCCTTCAGTACAGCTTCCCCAGTTTTTTCTCGTACGCCTGCCGAAATACTTGAGCCGCCCGCTAGCTCCAGGCCCTTGCAAGTCGGCTCATTGATGAACCCAGTAGGAGCCAGAGGCACACCTCCTTTCTCCAACCCTGCCTCGCATGCCTTCAGCAGCAAAGGCTCTGCCACAGTCTCTCCGGTGGCATGCAACCTCTCCAATGTGGAGCCTTCTGCATTGCAAAATGCAGAAGCGGCCTGAAGAGTTTCCTGAACCGATGCAGGAACCGCGCTCTTCTCCAACATTGCAGATGGTCCCTTGTCGGCAAGAGCTCTCCCTGTGGTCTCACAGATCGTTTTCAGACCATGCTGCATGGCCGCCTGCTTCGAAGCGAACGTTGGATGCAAGCTGGCGGAGTTGACCCGCACTGCATTCTGCACACCTCAGCTTTGGCAAACTATGCTGAATTCGAAGGAATGAAAGCATCTCTCGAAGAATCCACACGATGGTTTGAACTCTGTCCACTTCTTGCTTGCAGAATAAGTGAGTCATGCAGACAGCACGGTGGCAAAGGAGACAGGGACGTGCACTCCTTGTGGAAACTCACAAGTCTTTGAAGACGCTCAGCAAGGCATGCACGGAAGCGACAAATAACCCCCGTATTCGGGTCATAGGACACACGACATTCGAGAAAAGCTGCTGATTCACAGCCCGCCGATGCTTCACACTTCTGCTGTCCATGTGAGGGGGGCTCTAGAACAGCCACCCCCACGCCCACCCCGCCGGACCCACAACCGAAAGCGCCGCAGCAGCAGCCGCCGCGCCGGCACAGCAGCAACAACAACAACGTCGACAAGAAGCACCAACAGCAGCACTGGTGGCAAGATGCAGAAAGCAAAAGCAGCAGGGGCAAACAGCAGCAGCAGAGCAGCAGCAGCGGCGGCGGCAGCAGCAACCTCAACAGAAGCAGCAGCAGGCCCTGGAGCTTCAGAGGAACAAGCACTGGCACGATGCATACAAACTCCGACGCAAAGGAGGCGAAGCCAACACTGAAAAACAGCAGTGGCATGATAAACAAGTTCAACAGAAAGAAAGCTGTTACTGTTAGCATAAGCCGATGCACTGTCACGGTCACTCCACAGACTGAGGCAACGGCCCTCACCAAGACCACTGACCCCTACTTTCATGAGCTCATGCATCTTGCCGGAGGATGGCTGTGTGTCGGGCCTTTGCTCATCTGCATTTGATTTGGGTGTTCTTGGCGGCACCTTTCCTGGCATCGATTGGTGCTGGGCTGCACCCTCGTCAGGAGACTTCGGGGCCTGATGCCTTGTCCCCGTACATTTGCTTTTGTATGGCCCCCGATGTTTCATCCTCGTACTTCCATCATAGAACCGATGATTGTGCTCGCCACATGTCTTGGGGCATTGCGAAGAGCAAGGCCCTTTGTTGGTATAGGACGAGATAGAGCCATCCTTCTGCTTCAGCAGGATCATCCTGCTTCTGCCATCACTTGTCCGAGTGTGCTTCACGCCCTTGGCGAAACCTGCGGCGGAGTACCTCCGATCCCGGCGCGCGTATGCAGTCAGAAGAAAGCCAGCAATACTCTTGCCATGCCTGCCCTGGCTTCCAATCGCCCCCCGATGGTCACAAACACGTGGCTTGCCCATAAGATGACTCAACGACTCTGCTACTACAAGGCCTATGCAAAAGCTACCAGCTTGAGCCGACCCTTGGAGCTGATTGATATCGCAGAAGTCAGCAAGACATGCCAGCCGCTGGGTACCGAGGCTGCAACGATGCTCTACTTGGAGGCCCTTGTGACTTAAGTAGGGTAATGAAGTAAGGCGGGATATGGGGATTATAAGGCTTCTAGGGGATACTTGGTAGACTTACTAAGTCACCAGAGCTTCCAAGTATTCAAGCAAGCAGCAGCTTGCGTCCGTCGCAGAAGCACTGGAGAAGTTGCTCCAGTGGGTCGGGTTTAGGGTATAGGGTATAGGGTTTAGGGTTTAGGGTTTCGGGTTCAGGGCAGAGGGCATCACGAAGCCAAAGCCACCCCGGCCTCATAGGCAAAGTCCTTGCCGTGGGCAGTGCCGGTGGCACGGGCGACGTGGCTGTACTTCCTTTGATCCGGGTGCCCTAAACCCTAAACCCTAGAAACCCCAAAACCCTAGAAACCCTAAACCCTAAACCCCAAACCCTAAATCCTAAATCCTAAACCCTAAGCCCTAAGCCCTACACCCTCAATCCTGAAGCCCAAAAAACCTGCACCCTGACTGCGTTCCCTCAATGCCAGACCCTAAACTCCTGAACCTTCAACTCCCGAACTTCTGAAACGTTTTCAACCGCAACGTCCTAAAGCACTGGACCCTAAGATCCTGACACTCCTAAAAGCACTAAACCCTAAACCCTAAACCCTAAATCCTAAACCCTAAACTCTAAACCCTACCCGCTGAATTGTGTATCCAAAGGTCTCCCAGATGGGCAGCTTCTCCTCAGCCGACTTCTGTGGTAGGGGCTCCTCCAGTTGTGTTTAGGAGTAGGGTCTAGGGTTTGGGGTTTAGGGTGTGTTTGGGGTTTGGGGTTTAGGGTTTAGCTTGCTGAAGGCTCTTGGGATGTCGGCTTAAGGCATGGGCTGCAGGGTTCAGGGTGTAGGATATAAGCTCGTTTGCTCCCTATAGTTTGGGTTACCAACAACCAAACAGCCGTTCTGTTCATCAACTCCATGCAAGATGATCAAAAACCCCAAGCCCTAAACCTTAAACCTCTTGCCATTCACCCCACTCGCTCCACAACCGAGGGCTTGGGGAGCCCAAACCCTGCTCGGTTCTGGCCTCAAGCAGTCTGCGGAAGACCTGGAGGTAGGCCTGGGCTTTTGGGTTTAGGTCTTCTAGGGTCTGGGGTTTAGGGCTCAGGCTTGCTTCTGGATGCCCATGGCCTGTGGGTTAGGCTTCGTAGGTCTAGTTTCCGGTCGAGGGCCTCGGCTTCACGGACCTAGGAATGACAAGGTATACTGTCAAGGGGCGTATGAGGGCACCGAACCCCTGGAACATGGTAATAAGGGCTTAGTCTGCGTCCTGGCTTAATGGTCGTGACGGGCTTGTTAGGATTGAGGGCTTAGGGCTTATCGGGCCTAAGGCATGCCGGCTTGCAGCATTCGGCAAGCAGCAACTACCCCCCCCCCCTCACATCGCGATCATCAACTTCCCAAAAGCACGCTGAGAAAGCAAGAGGCGTTCGCAACCCTCACAGGGTTTGGGGGCGTGTGTCCCTAAACCCCACACCTGTAACCATCCCCTTAACGCCAAACCCTAAATTTTGAACACTCGAAAGTGCCCCAAAGGTTCAGGGTTTAGGGAAAACCTCAACCCCGCTGAGTCCTGAATCCTCTGAACCCTATCAGTCTCAAACTGCATCAGCCACGGCGCCTCCAGATTTTGAGAGCCCTGAATATGCTGGTCGACACCTGTGCGAGGTAAAGGGTTTAGGGTTTAGGGTTTAGAGTAGGCCCTAAACCCTAAACCCTAAACCCTAAACCCTTAGGGCCCTTGCAGGCCTTGGGCTCCTCCAAAAGAAGGTTGGGCCAGACTCGCCCCCCAACTGCCACCCGCGTCAGGGCATGCTTGAGACCCTCTTTTCTTGGCTGCACTTAGGAGGGTAGCTAAAAACCAAAAGTTTAGCTGCCTTATTAAGAAACCCAAGAAACCCAAAAAGGCTAAGGATCTAAAGTTCCGGCAAAGCACCACAAAGTCTTATAAGGCCTCAGGAGCACTTGGGGCGGGGTTTGCTGGCTGTTTTCGAGGTTGAAGTGTTCCGTTTTAGGGACCTGCTGTTGGGGCTTGCAGGTTGTACGGATGTAGGGTTCACGGCTAAGCGGAGTTGGGAAGGTACTTTTGACGCCTGTGTAGTTTCTATATTCCCCTTAGAACCCTGATAAAAATGATATGTTTAATATCCTCTTGCGTTTTATATAAAACAAAAAATAAAAACATAAATCCCAAGGGGGATAGAGGTTTAGGATCTAGGGCAGCAGGTCCGTCAAGGGTTTCGGGTTTACAAGGCTAAGGCTCATGTGAGCTTCGAGCCCCAAAACCCAAAAGCACTAGTTCAAGGAACCGTAGGCTGAGAGTTTAGGAAAATGCCTAAACCCGAACCTCCAAATCCTAAACCTCTAACTCAATCAAAGCCCTCGCTCAGAGGGCCCAGAGATAGAAGAATCACAGGGGGTGGGGTTCTGAATGGAAGTTGGGTGCTGGGTTTAGGGACAAACCTTGAACCCCCAAAACCCACAACATCCCACAACCCTAAACCTCAGCCCCGAAACCCGAAGCCCTAAACCCTAAACCCGAAATCCTAAACCTCAGCCGAAGAGAATGATAGCAAATATCCTCGGCCTTCGCAGCTCACCAGCGTAACTGGGACCGAGGTGTACCCCCAACCTCACTTCTCATTGGGTTTAGGGTTTAGGGTTTGGGGTTTGGGGTTTGGGGTTTGCGGGCTTGGGGGCTTGTGGGCTTCGGGGCTTGGGGTCTTGGGGTGGAGAGGCTGCGATGTTTAAGGTGTAACAGGGGCTTGACAGGCTGAGGAGATTGGGGATTTGAGGAGGGGTTGGGGTAGGGGTTTAGGCGGCTTTGGGGTGTCCAAGGGTTTAATGTTTGTTTAGGGTTTAGGGTTTGGGGTTTAGGGGATTTGGGGTTTGGGGTAGGGGTTGGCCGGTTTAGGGGTTTAGCGTTCGTGATGCCAGTGCGTGCTGCCTGGTGGACCAGTGGAGGGCTGACCCTAAACCCGAAACCTTAAAATTGATTAAAAGGCCTGAGCCAGGCTGTAACTCGAGACAGCAGCCCTAAACCCTACCTAAACCCTAAACCCTATAAACCCTAAACCCTAACCCCTAAACCCTAACCCCTAAACCCTAACCCCTAAACCCTAAAAGCTAAACCCTAAACCCTAAACCCTAAAAACTAAACCCTAAAAACTAAACCCTAAACGCTAAACGCTAAACGCTGAACCCTAAACCCTAAACCCTAAACCCCGGGGGAGGAAGGCAAGGCATCCAAGGATGACAAGGGGACCCGGGGCCCAGAAACGAGGCGAAAGGCCCACGGGGCCAAAAGGAAACGAGGGACCCTCATGGTTTAGGGTTTAGGGTTTAGGGTTTAGGGTGTAGGGTTTAGGGTCCATGTACCTAAATAGGGAATACTTGGGCCTTAAAGTACTTCCTCTAAGGACTTTGGGGCCCAAGTATACAATAATTAGGTACATGGACCCTTAGGGCTACCCCAACAAGACCCAAGAGCAACCGCGGAACATAAAGGGCTTAGAAGGGAACCTAAGCCCTAAAAAAGGGAAGGAGGGTCCTAGTCCTACACCCTAAACCCTAAGCCCTAAAGCCCCCCCCAAAAAAAGGGTAATGTGGGCCAAACCTTTAGCTTGCAGGGCTAGGGGATCTGGCCTTCCGGTACAAAGTTTCCTGGTTTTGGAACTCTCTGGGCCGTTGAGATTGCAAGACTTTGGGGTTGGGGCTTGTGGCTTTGGGGGGTTTAGGGATGCATAGTTCAGTGTGGAGGGACTAGGGATGCAGCTCGCCATCAGCTCACACAGACGTCGAGCCCTAAGCCCATACTGTGCCTCAATGACCCAAGCACCCTTAAACAAGCCCAGGTTCTATACACAACTCCCCTACTGTGGAGTAGACCCTGGAAAAGTATGAACTTTTTAGGTGTAAGTAGCCACGTTTAGGGTTTACGGTTTATATAGGGTTTAGGGTTTAGGGCCTAGGGTTTATGGCTAAGTAGCTAGAATAGGAACCCAGAAACGCAAAGAGTATCAAAGTAGAGTACTCCAAAACTCAGTATTCCTTTCCCTAAGGGTCCATGTACCTCATTATTCTGTACTTGGGCCTTAAAGTCCCTAGATAGGAGGTACTTTAAGGCCCAAGTATTCCTTATTTACTGTAGGTACATGGACCCTGAGGGTTTGTTCAAGGCTACTCCCGGTGCACCCCGACTCTTGGCAGAGTGGCCGTAGAAGATCTCGGCGTACTTGCGCTGGATCTCAAAAGTTCCCTCGCCGCTCTGCAGCCACTCGCGGAGGCCCTGGTCGACCCTAAGCCCTAAGCCCTAAGCCCTAAGCCCTAAGCCCTAAACCCTAAACCCTAAACCCTAAACCCTAAACACTAAACCTTAACCCTGAAGCCTAAACCCTGAAGCCTGAAGCCTAAAGCCTACAGCCTGAACCCTAGACGGTAAGGCCTCACCTCGGAGCCCAAACCCCAAGCCCGAAACCCCCCAACCAAACCCCAAACCCTAAACCCTTAGGGACAACGTGGGAAGCTTGCACCATATATGGCCCCTTCTCCGAAAAGCTTTGTGTTGAAGTCCGCCCTGAATCGCCCTCAATACCCAAAACCCCAAAAGGCCCTAAACCCTGGCCCTAAACCCTAAACCCTAAACCCTAAACCCTAAACCCCAAACCTCAGAGCCCCAGCCTCCGTCGGAATTTTTGCTTCGGAGGCGGCCTGTGGTGAGCCCCCGCAACACAGCGCTGAGCGGTATAATTTCGGCATAGTACGCACATGGAGGCGTGCATTCCTTGTCTTCGGACTTCGCAAATGGGATATAACTTTGCCATCCTGAAAAGGGTTTTTGGTTTAGAGTTTAGGGTTATGACGGTCACATCCTGTGCGTGACTTAGTCTAGGAGGCGTTGGCCTGGAGCCTAACAAAACCGAAACTGGGACTTCAGAACTCGGCTTAAGGATTAACTACGGTTCAAGGCGCCCTATAGCCCTCAAAGAGCCAGACAAGTTGGGCAAGCGGCCTCCAGGAGCACCTGGTGGTCGGCCAGAACCTGGCCCTCAGAGAAGTACTTGCCTGGACTTAGGGTTTAGGGTTTAGGGTTTAGGGTCTAGGGTCTAGGTTTTAGGGTTTAGGGTTTAGGGTTTAGGGTTTGGGGTTTGGGGTTTAGGATCCAGGAAGGTTTGGGGCATCGTTCGGGTGTGGGGCGTAGGGTTCAGGAGCAACCTAACAAAATGAAATTCGGGGTACCTTATTGGGGCCCCTTATTATGAGGGGATCCTACTATTTTGGGGTCTCTCTTAGGGGTCCCCTACTTTCGTAAACCCGCAAAGAGGAAAAGCAACCGTAGGTACCCCCTTGGAAAGGGGACGGGGGGGGGTGGGTCCTGGAAGCCCACATCCCTCAGAGAGATCCACGTTCACTTCCGAGGCTGTCACTTCAAAGACCCGAGGTGTGGTGTTAAGGGTTAAGGGTTAAGGGTTAAGGGTTAAGGGTTAAGGGTGAAGGGTGAAGGGTTAAGGGTTTGGGGTTTAGGGTTTAGGGTTTCAGGAGGGCGCCCCCTAGGTTTAGGGAGGGGATGGTTGTGCGTGTGTGTCTGTTGGTGTGCTTTGTGTGAGTCATGTATGTGGTGTATGTGGTACTTGCATGTTTCGGCAGATTCAGAGCGTTGATTCTATGATCTTTTTGCTTCTAAGGCTTAAGGAAAACAGTAAAGTGGTTAAATCCCTGAGGGTCTAGGGTTACGGTTTTGCAATGCCCTCAACCTTAAACTCCAAACCTTTAACCTCTTATAGGGTTTAAACCCTAAAGGGCTAACCCCGGTAGGGTAGCTAGGTTTAAGCCTTAAACCCTACACCTCAGACAATTTCACGGGCAAAAACCCGCACGCCAAGATGCGGGAGAGGATTTCGAAGAAGTCCTCTCTCACCTCCGGGCTCTGCTCGCGCTGCACCTGGCCAGGGCTGGGCCTCCCTAAGATTTCAAAGGTTCGATTTCGGGCAGGGGAGCGGGGGCGGGGTTTAGGGGTTTAGGGTTTGGGGTTTGGGGTTTAGGGTTTAGGGTCTAGGGTTTCGGGTTTGGGGTTTCACCGAGGTACATAATCATCGCCTAGAAGAACCCTCAGCTTTGGCACTGGTGTTACAAGCAACTATGACGTACACTCTTTTTTTGTGAGCCCAGGTGGATGTTAGAACCTGTCAAACCCAAAATCCCTCAAGCCTAACCCCTAGACCCCGCTCCTTCATCAGCAATCGCAGAGCATCCATCGAATTGCCTTAGAGAAGGTCTGGTTTAGGCTTAGGAGTTTCAGGGTTGAAGATGTGAGGGTTTAGGGATTTTTAGGGGTTTGGGGGTGTAGGGGTTCAGGGGTTTAGGGTTTAGGGCTTATGATGATGTTGTAAGGGCACAGGGTTTAGGGCTTCTGCTAAATTTGCTCCTTATTGGAATTCAGGGTGCATGGTTTGGGGCCCCTCAACCCGCCCACAGGAGACCCTGAACATCACCGGGCGTATTTCGGGATAACGGGACGCTGCTTCAGGAGACCAGCAGAGTTTGTAGGGTTTTTGGGCTTGGGGTTTTAGGGTTTGGGCTTTGGGCTCTTCTGCTTTCGGGGTGTTTCAGGGGTCGGGGTTAGGGGAAATCCCAAAGCCCAAGCCCTGTAACCCGCAAGACCCAAACCCCAAACCCCCAAAACCCCCAAACCACAAAACCGACCCCAGGCTGAAGCTGGAGGGTTTAGGGTTAGTTTAGGGTTTAGGGTTTAGGGTTTAGGGTTTAGGGTTTAGGGTTTAGGGTTTAGGGTTTAGGGTTTAGGGTTTAGGGTTTAGGGCCAAGGAGCTCATGGCCTGGTTGAACACGAACTTCAGGCCCACCTCCGGTTTAGGGAGCTGGGGGAGCCGAGGATGCTTTTTTGTTTTACATATAGGGTTTAGCATTTCTAGGGCTTTTATCCCAGGATTTGTGGAGTTTATGGTATCATCTGGGTTTATAGGGTTTAGCGAATTATAGGGTTATTGGAAAAGGTTTATAGGGTTTTGCGTCTACAGGGTCATTCTAGGGTTTGTAGGGTTTAGCGTTTTGGTTTGGGGGTTGAGGGCTTCTAGGTTAGGCATGTCGGCCGCCGGGAGGGCTTTCAGGGGATAGTCAGCCCTATGACCCCCATAGTTTGCCGTGACCCCCACATGCCCTGTGTAAGATGCCCTAAGTACACCCACGAAGGTACACTAAGGTCCTCATCAAGGGGTACTTGGGGGGGGGGTAGGGTCTAGGGTTTGGGAGTTCAACCTGGTGCAGTGGACCCGGGATCCTAAATACCGCAAGCGCAAATCCCTGACTCGCCATGCCCTCAACTCTAATCATGGGTGTCCCTACTATACCCCCTCAAAACTACACCCCCCCCCCCCCACCCTGGACCCCCCTTGAAGAACCTTTTTTTTAAGCTTAATTATCCTAAATAGCCTGAATTATGGGGGAAACCGGGGGGGGGGGGATCTAAACCGGTTGGTTGAAGGCCTAAGAATCCTCCACAATCCTCTCAACCTTAGACTTACTGGCTCTTCTTAACAGGGCACTGTCATAATCCTTCAAGAAGTTATACAGGGCGTACCTCACTACCCACTTCCCAAGTCTCTCTCAACCCTAAACCCTAAACCTTCAATCCTGCCTCTGAAGCTTGCCAACTGATGCCGTAGCGCGCGTTCGGGGCCTCTACTGGTGTTCGGCTGTATAAGTAGGGGTCCCCTTGCTCAGGGTAGGGGCCCCCCTTACTGTACTAACTTTTATTAAGGGAGGTCGCACCTAAATCATATGCCTTATTCTACCCCTCAGAACCCTACCTATAACTTGGGGGGGCCCCTATGTGTAGGGCACTTTTGTTGGCTGAGTGGGGGTTGAGGTGTTTCGAGCGCAGGGGATTGGAAACCGAACTCCGGTGCCTTTGAAGGCTTTTGGGTGTTGGGACGTTAGGTCTAAGGGTAGATACATGGTCCCTTCATATGGGCCCTCAAAAACGGATTCCTTGTAAACCCCTTATATTCCCTATAAACCCAAGGGCCCGTACATCAGAACCCTTAAGGGACCAGATAGAGGGATCATGTACCCTAAACCCTGAACCCTGAACCCTAAACCCCAAACCCCAAACCCTAAACCCTAAACCCCAAACCTGAAGAGCTTCAGGGCTGCAGGGCCTTCTTGGGCGCGTTCGTGAGCGTTGCGGGTTGGAGATCTCGGGGTGCGAAGTTCAGGGTTTAGGCTTTAGGGTTTATAGGGTATAGGGTATAGGGTATAGGGTATAGGGGATAGGGTTTAGGGTTTAGGGTTTAGGGTTTAGGGTCAAAGCTCCAGCACGCCCTCGATCCTCGACAGGGGCAAGAGCATCCCGAAACCCCCAAAGCAAGGGGGCCTGGTCTTTGCCACCAAACTTCTCCGGGTTTTTCCTGGCAGCATTTGGTGGCTTCCGAAATTGGGCGTACCTTATTGAGGTCCTTCTTAATTCTAACAGAATCCTACTATTGGGGGGGGGGGGGGGGGCTATTTTAGGGTCCCCTGTTTTGAAAACCCCGATTTGAGCTTAGGGTTTAACCTTCGATAGACGTGTATTGAGATTTGGGAGCGTGTCTCTTGTCCATGGCCCCCTTTGGGCAGGCAGTTCGGGGCGCACCGATGATTTTCTTAGTGCTAGTCCTGTGTTTGGCTACGATGAATATTTTTGCTACTCATACTCTCGAAGTTGATGACTCTCATACTTTGTGTCTCTTCTTGTGTTATGATTTTTTTTAAAGTTGATGACTCTTATTCTTTGTGTCTCTTGTTGTGCTATTTTCGTTCTTGGGCGGGGGGTCTTGTACCGGGGCCCTGCTGTACCTTGCTGCTTGCTAGGCTTCTAGGGTTTATAGGGCTTATAGGGTTTGAAGGATAAAACCCTAAACCCTAAACCCTAAACCCTAAACCCTAAACCCTAAAGCCCGAAGAGAGTTCTACGCGCGAGAGCAAGTTCCACCAACGAGCTCAGATGTTCCGAAGCTCGGAGCAAAGCCCTAAACTTTATAGAGTTGTTTAGGGTTTAGGGTTTAGGGCTTAGGGTTTAGGGTTTAGGGTTTAGGTTTAGGTTTAGGTTTAGGGTTTAGAAGAGGGGGGTGCTGTTGTAAGAAAGAACTGTTCGTGGTAAGACGCCCCCGTGGGTTTGGAAGCCCCAGTCCCCCTTGCTTGCAAGAAGGCTCGAGGGGCTTGATCGAAATCCTGAACCCTAAAACCTAAACCCTGAACCCTAAACCCTAAACCCTAAACCCTAAAACCTAAACCCTAAACCCTAACCTTAAACCCTGAACCCTGAACCCTAATTTTTTGGGGCGGGCATATCCCTTATAGCTCCTACACTCCCATTCGAACCTTTATAAACATAGTATTTTTCATATCCTCTTGGGTTTTTATATAAACAAAAAATAATAATAATAAACATCCCAAGCGGGGTATAGGCTCAGGGTGTCGCGGCATGGCCCCGCAGGTTAAACAAACCCCCACGTCATCAGATTTAGGGCCAGGGTTTGGGGTTTACAAGTATGGCGCCCTTACTCAGGTTTAGGGTTTCGGGTTTATTTTAGGGTTTAGGGTAAACTGTGTAAACCCTACAAATAGGGGGCCCCCTGATAGAGTTTATAGGGTTTAGGGTTTAGGGTTTAGGGTTTGGGGTTTAGGGTTTAGGGTTTGCGGCTTTTTCTGAACCTACTTCCGAGGTGCTTCGTGTACTTGTCCATCTGGTCGCCCCAAGTGCCAGGGGATTCCTTCAAGCTCCACTTCCTGGGACTGGCTGGCTCTTAGTAGGGTGAGGTTTAGGGTTTAGGGTTTAGGGTCTAGGGTCTAGGGTTTAGGGTTTAGGGTTTAGGGTTTAGGGTTTAAGGTTTAGGGTTTAGAGTTTAGGGTTTAGGGTATAGGTACCTATGAGCCTATGTACTTCCTTAAAGGGTATATATAGGGCCCTGGTTCCCTCATTCCCTACGAAGAACCACGGGGTGGATGTTGCCGCGTTGTTGCAACTGCTACTACTATTCCCATTCGAGTTCTGTTGCTGTCAGAGAAGACACGACAAGCTAAAACTCAAAGAAAAGTGTTAAACACATCGTAGCTTTCTATGCATATATGTTTTCATGATGCACATATGTATCCCTTTCCTTGCACGTCAGTTTAAGTATGTGGGGATCTAGGTTTTGGGACTGTGGGCTTGTTGGGCATCATCCCCGCATATCTCCCCCCCCCCCTCTCCCGACTGCCCCTAAACCCTATACCCTACACCCTAAACCCTACACTCGATATCCAAACCAGCGTTTACAGGGTTTGGGGTTTGGAGGGTTTAGGGTTTAGGGTTCAGGGAAAGTCCAGTGCTTGGAAGCCCTATCAGTTTCAAACCTTCTGAAGCCCAATGGGTCTACACGGGACCCCCCCTCAAGTACCCTTCAAGAGCCATGAAAGCGCCTTCGGCCCTCATTAAGGGGTAACCGCTAGTATTCCCTTTCGTGGTCATACGAGAATCACCTCCAAAGCCCTATTCTAATTCTTAAGGCCCCTATACTACTTGCGGGGGGGGGGGGGGGGGGGGGGAGGTATGGTTTGGGGCTCAAACCGTATACCCTAAACCCTAAACCCTAAACCCTAAACCCTGACCCCGGATAGGGTTTAGTTTAGGGGCTAGCCCCTTAGAGGCCCGACATCTCTGAGGCCAGCGGCCCCTCGGGAATCGGCGCTTTGGCGAGGGACGCCTCTTCGGAGGGCGGGAGCAGGGTCTTGCTGATGCCAGGGAGCCTCAATGACCCAAGAGCGGGGTTTTGGGGTTTTGGGGTTTTGGGGCTTTGGGGTTTGGGGTTTTGGGGTTTTGGGGTTTAGGGTTTAGGGTGCGAGACCTCGGGTTTTTCAGGGGTTTATAGGGTTTAGGAGGGGTGTTTGGGGGGGACTGGTTTCAGAGATTTTTGGTGATGCTGCTTGGACGAGGGCTTGGGGAGACTAGCGATTCTCTCTACCGCTCAGGTATATATAGCCATTCGCAACAAAATTCGGTGCTGCAGGTAGAGTTTAGATGGTTTTCCAAAGCTATACTGAACTTGGAACCCTAGCAAAAAAATAATTTGAGCTGTTCCTTAGAAACTAAAGTGCACCAAAATGAAAAATCTACCCAAGTACCCCTAAGGAAAGGGAATCTGCCGGAAATGAACTTGACCATGAGTTGAACAGCCCTCACACTACCAAGAAGAACCTCCTGTGAGCTGGACCCTTCCAACCGCAATCATCTACACAACCCTGACCCTGCAAGCTGCACAGGCATTGCAGCCATTCATCTTCTTCCGACCCCTCATCATGATCATCTGAGGGTACTTTAGTGGTATCCGAGGTGAAATGGTATTAGTTCTTTACGGCCATTTCTTTGTTCTTCTTATTATTATTACTACTACTATTATTAAAATTACTACGATTATTTAAATGTTTTTTTTTTTTTGGGGGGGGGGTGAGGGGGTTCAGAAAGCTCAAGGCTAGAAAGCCTGATGCCTAATCCCATAAATTAGGCATTCTCTAAATCTCAAACCCGGAAACCCTGCGTCAGGGAGAGGCCCTAACTTCTTGGCTGCACTCAGGAGGGTAGCTATAAATTCAACTTTTACCTGCCTTATTAAGAAACCCAATAAACCCAAAAAAGGTAAGGATCTAAAGTTACGGTAAAGTACCACAAAGACTTGAAATTCTTGTGGGGAGCGTAGAGCATGGGGTCAGAGTGTGGGGCCGATACCCCTACCTTCCGCTCTTTGGTTCAGGGGTCTACCGACATTGGGCTAACAATCACCATGTAACGTATGAATGCATACATATGGGTAGATATCCAGATATACATGTACATAGATAGATAGATACACAGACAGATTAACGTGTCTCAAGCTCCTTTTCATCGACAGCACTTTGTGCCATCCAAGCGTCTCTGGCCGCAGGAAGAATGGCAAACGTGTAACAGTGAAGTCAATAGGTTCATCAGCTAACATGTCCTGAGCTGGCTGGTGGATGCTGGTCGAACTTGTTACCAACGTGCCCAACGCAGTCTTCTACTAGTATGTCTCTTGGACCTTGTTCAAAGCCACCTTAGACAATTTGCCAAGCAAGACATATAAACCCTAACCTCTGGATCCTAAGCTATGTTTGTCTTGCTTTGTTCATTTCTAGCTGTCATGTTTACGACTGTCAATATGTATGTGCATATATATATATATATAGATAATTCTCCCTATATAGATATACACCCAAATGTAGATATATGCAACCAATGCCCGTACACACTGGGCGCATGAGAGACCCAGGATGGTCCACCTAATATGGAGTTTACGGCTTTCGGGAGTTTGTAGGGCTTAAGGTAGGCACAAGGAAACTAACCGCCTCTGACTCAAAAGTGAAGCGGTCTAGGGGCCACTACTACGGATGAGTTGGGGGAGAAGGTCGGGTTGCCCCGACACGCAACGTTTTGGTGCAGCTTGTCTGGCCCTCCATGGAGCTGAAACTCTCAGCAAACCCTATCGTGGAACATGGAGAGCTTGGAGCTTGGGTGTCATGGGTCTGCTGATGTTTCTTGCGCTGTTGGGATGTCTGCAAAGCCGTCTACGCCGCAATCTCTGCACCCTAAACCCTAAACCCTGAACCCTAAGCCCTCTAAGCCTTGAACCCTAAGCCCTCTAAGCCCTAAACGCTACACTTTGCACCCTGCTCCGAAGCCCTCGAAGCCCTAAACTCTACACCTCTACCAACATGCAAGCCGTAGGCCATCGCTCGCCGAAGCCAGCGATGTTGGATCCAGCCGTGGGGTCCTGGGCTTCAAGAAGGTCAGGCCCTAGAAGCTGCTCTGAGCGTTTAGGGTTACGGGTTGTAAAAGAGCACCCTAAACCCTAAACCCTAAACCCTAAACCCTAAACCCTAAACCCTAAACCCTAAACCCTAAACCCCTCGGAGCTTTTGAGATCAGTTCCCAGCCCAGAAACATCTTGTGGCCGCAAACCCTACCCTACATGGCTGAGGAGAGGGGTCTGACAACCTCAAAGCCAAAAGCTTACGGTTTAGGGATTAGGGTTTAGGGTTTAGGGTTTAGGGTTTAGGGTTTAGGGTTTATAGGGTTTAGGGTTTAGGGATTAGGGTTTAGGGTTTAGGGTTTTAGGGTTTTAGGGATTCGTATTAGGGTTTGGGGTAACTACATGGCAATGGCGACCCCTCGAATAAAGGGGGTAAGGGGACCACATCAAGAGCCCGTGAAGCTACCCTTAGACAAAACGCGAATCTGTGGCCCTGATTGAAGGATAGATTCGTAAAGTATATATCAGGTTTCCTCAACTTTTTAGGCGCTGAACCCTAAAACGCTCCCTTCACTTGCACTTTGTGAGGGTTTAGGGTTACTCTATAAGGGAACCTTGAACCAAACAAAAGGCAAAAGGGTACCACTGGGCTGCCCAAAACCCGAAACCCTGAACCCTATGGGAGGTAGTGCAGGGTTTCAGGGCTTAGGGACTTCCATACGCCAAGCTGCAGGCAAAGTCTGAGAGCACGCAGATGTTGGCCTTAGGCGTGGTTCATGGAAGGCTTAGGGTTTAGGGTTTAGAGTTTTAGGGTTAGGGTTTAGGGTTTGGGCTTGAGGGTTTCGGGTTTCCCCTCTTCTGCGGTGGCTCATGGTGGGTTTAGGGTTTAGGGTTTAGGGATCTAGAGCTTGCCTGTGGTTCGTAGTGCTTTCAGGGTGTTGGGCCAGGGTTTGGCAGGGGGGGGGGGATACCAAGGGGGGCGGGGGGGGGGGGGGGGGAATTTAGCTCTCTTTTATAGCCGACAGGGGACAAGTGCCAAACTTTGCCCTGAGCCGTCTGAACCCTAGACTCCCAATACCCCCTCAAACTCCCCAAAACCTAGAAGCCCTTAACAAAGTACGAAGAAGGAGTCCAGGAAGTATTGGGATTACATTCGGGGCGCCCCTATTTTGGGAGATACCCCTACGCAAATCATGCGCTGGGGTGGAGGTTTGGACGGGTTACCTCGACTCCGGACTAGACACCCAGTCCATCCTGAACCCTAAACCGCCTAAATCCTGAAACCCTAAACCCTAAACCCTAAACCCTAAACCCGAAACCCTAAACCCTAAAACCCTAAAACCCTGAACCCTCAATAGCACAACTCCTCACCGACCCCCCCCCCCTTTCCAAGGCCCCGTGGCGGTCACCCGCTTCCGGCACTTCTTCTTGTGCTCCCTCCAGTGGCCTTTCTGGCACCTGGAGGTTTAGGTTTAGGGTTTCGGGTTTAGGGTTTAGGGTTTTGCCTTTCTGGCACCTGGGATGACGGTAACATTAGGATTAATTCTCATAGTCATAGTCAAAAGCAGAACTGTATAGTATTTGTACACATACTAGTAATAATCACAATAGTAACAACAAGAATCATAGTGAATTGTAACACATGGTATTTGGTAATGAGAATGAAAATACTAGAAATCAGAATAGTGAGAGTGATACGAATAAGAATATTAGAAATTCGAATCATTGTAACATTAGGAAGTAGTAGTGATAAGAGTGATAAGAGCAAGAGCATTGGTTAGCAAATGATAGTGAGAAGAGCATGAGGTTTGCTCTGCCTTAGCTTGGGAATGTGAGGTTGGCGGGTTTTGGGGCTGGGTGCATACTTCGGGATGGCCAACAGGTAATTGTAGGTGCTGGCGACCGAGTCGAGGCAGCAGCCAACCCTACCCAAACCCCAAATCTTTAGCCCAAGCCCTAAACGCTTAACATAGGGGTCTTAATAATTAGAAGATGGGTTTTGGGAGCCATTTATAGTATAATTAATGATATAGGGGCCATAAGGGAATAGTAGCAATTATTCCGACCCCGAGATTAATCCAAAGGCTTTTCAGTCCTGGTACTCATAGCTGCAGTATTTGGCCGATTTGCAGGTGCCACACCTTGGCGGGGTCTGATTGAGAAAGGCCTTGGGCGGTAAAGACCCAAAAGCCCCGGTTTAGGGTTTAGGTTTAGGGTTTAGGGTTTAGGGTTTAGGGTTTAGGGTTTAGGGTTTAGGGTTTAGGGTTTAGGGTTTAGGGTTTAGGGTTTTGGGTCCCCCCAATAAAAATGCAACCTAACCAAGAACCCGAGAAACCACCCTCAGTTAACTCAGGAACAAGAAGGCCCAAACTGAACCCTAAACCCTAAACCCGAAAAGCGTCTACTGCAGGGTGCAAGTTAGCGCTTTCTAGGCTTCTTTTTCGGGAGGGTGCGAGAAGATTTGCACGCAGAACGTTAAGCAAGTTTGACATGGTCCCCCAAATCGTAGGATGGCTTTATCATAAGGACCTTTGTTGCTTAAAGGGGTTTATAAGGGAACCTAAACCCACCCAAAAAGGGAATAAGGGTACTACTGGGCATCCTAGTTTCGTAAACCCCCATATCATTGTTTAGGGTTCAGGGTTTAGGGGTTAGAGGTGCTACATGGCATTCTGGGTCGAGTTCAGTCTCTCTTCAGAAGGGAGGGCTCCCCTTTGCGAGACGAACTTGAGTTAAGGGACTGATAACCTATGTAGGGTGTAGGGTTTAGGGTTTAGGATTGCGGGTTTGGGGTTTGGGGTTGAGGGACTAACTGCAACCCAGTTCAGGCCCCTCCCCCAGAACTCCCTTATAAAACCCTAAACCCTGAACAGACGAAATCCCCTAAGCCCCATAAGGCGAACCGGTGCATAAGGCGTCAGGGTTTAGGGTTTAGGGTTTAGGGTTTAGGGTTTAGGGTTTAGGGTTTAGGGTTTAGACTTTACGGTTTAGGGGTTTTAAGGAAGGGGGCCTCCAGAAAGAAACAAACCGGTGCCACTTCTTAAACCCTAAACCCCTATGAACCCTAAACCCTACACCCCAGACACGATCCAGGCGCTGGAAGGCCTGGGCCTGGGCGCCCTGAACTCCACAGCCGGCACAGCCTCGGACAGCAGCGCATTGGCGCGTAGGGCGTTCGGGGCATCATGGCCCTAAACCCTAAACCCCAAACCCCAAACCCCAAACCCCAAACCCCAAACCCTAAACCTCAAACCCTAAACCCCAAACCCTAAAACCCAAACCCCAAACCCTTCCGGTTCAGGGTTCCGGGTATAGGTGTGAGTCCTTCTAGGTGCCGCGCAGCAGAGGGACCTAACACAAGACCCTAACATGGAGAATTACCAATGTCCCTGACCCCTAGACCCTTAACCTAATTCGTTTTTCGTTTCAGGGCCAAGCGCCTAAGACCAGCTCAAAAGGTTTAGGGTTTAGGGTTTAGGGCTAGGGTTTAGGGTCTAGGGTCTAGGGGTTAGGGTTTAGGGCTGCCCTAAACCCATCGGCCAGGAAGCACCGGCGCCGCTGCGGCGCGGACTCTGCGAACTGGCGGCGCCGAGCTTCGAGGAGCTCCTCTTGAGAAGTCGCCAATACCCCCTTAACCCATGAATAGGGTTTAGGGTTTAGGGTTTAGGGTTTAGGGTTTAGGGTTTAGGGTTTAGGGTTTAGGGTTTAGGGTTTAGGGTTTAGGGTTTAGGGTTTAGGGTTTAGGGTTTAGGGTTCAGGGTTTAGGGTTTAGGGTTTAGGGCTGCTCAATGTCGAGGAATATTTTTTGGATGAGTGGGGATACTGGAGTCTCTGGGTGGTGGAAGGCAGCGAGAAGCTTGACTGATGGGACTTAGACATCAAGACGCGGGATAGGTTGCAACAGACCCTAAAACCTAAAACCTAAAACCTAAAACCCTAAACCCTAAACCCTAAACCCTAAACCCGATAATTATGAGCCTAAGCCCTAAACCCTAAACCCCAAACCCTGAACCAATCTAAGAATGATTCAACACACCCCTTGGGCATACCCCTTAAAAGAAAGCAAGGGGTATGGGAAAATCCTTTCTAATATTCTCCTTGTAGAGGTTAAGGAGTATGGGTTTGGGGTATGAACCCTAAACCCTAAACCCTATACCCCAAACCCTAAACCCTAAACCCTAGTTATTCTTAGAACCAAGCTCCAGTCCTCGAGCTGCTCCGGCGACGCCTGCGAAGCTCAAGGCCAGGAGCGTTCGGAACCGGCTGCGCTCCAAAGTACGGGTTTAGGGTTCAGGGTTTAGGGTTTAGGGTGCTGCGCTCCAAAGTACAGGGTTTAGGGTTTAGGGCGTAGGGCTTGGGGGTTTGGCGTTTACAAGGCTTGGGGTGTAGGGTTTAGGGTTTGGGGTTCAGGGCTTTTGGGGTTTGGCGTTTAGAAGGTGTGGGGTTCAGGGTTTCGGGTTTAGGCCGTTACCCTAAACCCTAAACCCTAAACCCTAAACCCTAAACCCTAAACCCGCTTTGTTTGGGGCTTAGGATTATGAGGCCTTGAGTCGGAGATGCATGGGAGAAGCCTAAACGCCTGAAGTCTAAACCCTGTGGGGAAACCCATCGACACTCCTCGGGTTTAGGGTTTAGGGTTTAGGGTTTAGGGTTTAGGGTTTAGGGTTTAGGGTTTAGGGTTTAGGGCCTAGATATTCCCTGTGCAGGGCTGTTAGTATAAGGGGGAACATCCCAAATTCAACCCGAGGCAGGGCCTGCTCTTTCTGCGCCTTCAGCTTTGCCAAGAGCGCCTGCTTTGAACCCCTAAACCCTAAACCCTAAACCCTAAGCTGTTAAACCCTAAACCCTAAACTGTTAAACCCTAAGCCCTAAGCCCTAAACCCTAAACCATAAAACCTAAACCCAAAGCCCTACCATCTTAAGCTTCACACGAAGACCAACTCTACGCACACAGCCCCAAACCCTGTCTTCAGTTTAGGG